CGGGCTGTAACTGTGACTGGTACTGGACGGGCGGTGGACACTCTAAGGAGCAGGACCAGTAGAAGGCGGGAGACCAAGAACCTGCTCAAGGAGCGGAACGAAGTACGGCCGCGGCCGCGTAGCGCCTCCAGAACCATCAGTGACAGCACCAGCACCCCCAGCGTCAGCTCCAACTCCAGCAGCACCACCAGCTCGAGCAGCACCTCCAGCAGCTCCAGCAGCACCAGCTCTAGCACCCCCAGGAGCACCGGCTCTAGCAGCACCTCCAGCGCCAGCACCTCCAGCAGCACGAGCTCCAGCAGGACCACCAGAAGGCCTAGCAGCTCCAGGAGCGCCAGCTACAGTGGCTCCACCAGCACCCGCTCCAGCAGCACCGCCAGCTCCAGCCCCAGCAGCACCACCAGGCCCAGCAGCTCCAGTACCTCCAGGACTAGCACCTCCGGGACCATCGGCTCCAGAACCCCCAGCAGCTCTAGCAGCAGCAGGGCCTCCAGCGCCCGTAGCACCACCAGCTCCAGCAGCACGGCTCCAGCGCCGAGAAAACCACTCGCGCAGCTGCTGTGGAGAGAGTGGCTCCCGCCGAGAGGAAGCACCCGAAGGACCTCCAGGCTTAACACCTCTAGACTCCACACGCGCAGGCTCAGCACCCTCAGGCTCCGCACCCCCAGACTCAGCAACTCCAGGCTCAGCACCCCCAGACTCAGCACCCCCAGGCTCAGCACCCCCAGACTCAGCACCCCCAGGCTCCGCACGCTCAGGCTCAGCACCCCCAGACCCGGCACCCGCAGGCTCAGCACCCCTAGCAGCACCAGAGTCAACAGCTACCTCGACAGGCTCGACTGGGTCTACCTGGGACACACCTGAGGGGGGAGGGGGTCTACCGGGGGAGGACCTGGCGCGAGGAAGAGTGGCGCGGGGGGGAGGGGGGCAGTGCGGTAGGGGAAGAGACGGTAGTAAAGAACCGACTCGTCAAACGTGACGTCCTGAGAGGACAGAACACAGCGCGAGGTGGGTTGGTAAAACTGCCAACCAGGCGCGTCAGGGGGGAAGCCAAGGAAGGCGCAAGGAACAGCACGGGAGGACAGCTTGTCCGCAGACAAGTCGCGGACGAAAGCTCGAGATCCCCAGACACGGAACGCAGACGCATCGCCAACCTTCCCCGTCCACCGCAGAGTAGGTGTGGTCTCCGGCAAGGAGACCCGGGGCTGGAGGTTGAACTGATGCGCCGCGTAATGAACCGCGAACGGCCACAGAAAATGGGGAGCAGCCGCATGGGTCATGGACGTACGAGCGACATCCATGACCATGCCAATGCGGCGCTCAGCAATCCCATTCTGCTGTAGAGAGGCCGGAAGCGTGAACGTCTGGCGGATGCCCTCCGCACAACAGAAGGCTCGCAGAAGGTCGGAGGAAAACTCTCCACCTCTGTCGTAGTGCAGACGCTGAACAGGAAGGTCCGAGCCGAAACTCTCGCTGAGCTGGCGACGGGCAGCGCGGATCCAGTCGATCAGCACCTCAGTGACCTCACTCTTGCGGCGCAAGGGGAAGACCGTGGTGTAACGCGAGTAGTCGTCAACGACCAGCTGAAAGTAGCGCTCGTGACCCTGTCCACGGACGCGGGCGGGGCCCCACATGTCCATGTGAAGAGTCTGCAGGGGAGCCTCCGTCGGAGGAAACACGGAGGAGTGAGGAGCGGCGTGCTGCCGCCCCTCGACGCAAGGAGCGCAGGTAGGGGCAGGCCCCGGGGGAAGGGGAGGGAGAGACTGGGGAAGACCAGTGACAAGGACACGGGAGGCCATGCCTCGGAGACGAGGCAGGGAGGGGTCACCAAGGCGGTGGTGCCAGAGGAGAGTCTGGTGAGACAGGAGGCAACACGAGCAGGGGGCAGACTTAGGACCAGACCGGGACGCTGCAGCAAACACCTGACCCGACGCGGCTACCAGACCAGACTCAGCAACCGGAGGAGACACTGTAGTCAGGGTGTACAGGCTCGACCTAGGCTGACGGGTGAACGTGGCCAAGTGCCGGCCCGTCTGAGTACACGAACAGTGGGTCACCCGCTGACCTCCAGGAGTGAACTGGTTAACCCACGCGTCCTGAAGGTCAGCTCCACTCACCAAGTTCGTGGAGAACGAGAAGAGGTGGAGGCCAGATAGAGAGCCAGACGAGACCGCCGGCCACGGCAGAACTGTGGAGGAGTGTGCAAGGACCGAACCCCCAGAGGGGTCAGCCAGAGAGACTGCCACTGGCCGACTGAGCGGCGAGAGTGTGGTGCAGTCGCGAAAGAAGGAGCGGGAAGCACCCGAGTCAAGGGTGAAAGTGTGCAAGGCCGCAGCAGGCGTAGTACCAGAGAGAGCAGACTCACCAGCGCCTAGAGCAGTGGACTCACTAGCGCCTAGAGCAGCAGAATCACCGGCACCTGGAGCAAGAGACGCACCAGCACCTAGAGCAGCAGCCTCACCAGTACCTAGAGCAGTAGACTCTATACCTGGGTCAGGCGGCACACACAGGTAACAGGCACCCTCAGCACTAGTAGGCAATGCATACATGGCAGTGAGGATAGCATCATAGTCAAGAGCAAAGATACATACCCTCTGTCGAAGCAGCTCCAGCCAGGAGGGGAGCTCAGCGTCGTCGCCAAACTCTGTACGCCAGGCGTCGCTCAGACTGGAGAAGCAGCGGGACTCTGTGTGACCAACCGTCCCGCAAGGCTGACCAGCCCGAGCACCAGTGCGAATGATGTACGGGCAGCGAACTGTACTCCGTGACCCTCTAATCTGAGTGTACCACTCACGAAGCTGCTGGGGCGAAAGGACCGCGCGCGGACGCTGCTGCAGCTACACCTGGTCACTACAAGAAGCTCCCGAACGACCCGCTCCAGGGCGACTCCCACCATGACCACCCCTACAACCCCAACTAGCGTACCACTCACGAAGGACGCGCGCGGACGTCGCTGGAGCTGCATCTGGCCACCGCCAGTAGCAGCAGTAGCACCTAGGGCAGCAGCACCTAGGGCTCCTCTTTTCTTTTTTTTTCTTTTTTTAATAATTATTTATGTTTTTTAGGGTTTGGCAGGGCGCACTGGGCGCTGCAGAGGCGGCTCGCGGGCTGCAGGGGTGGCTCGCGGGCTGTAGGGGCAGTGCGCTGGCTGCAAGAGGCAGGCGCGCTGGCTGCAGGGGCCGTTCGCGGGCTGTAGGGGAGGCTCGCGGGCTGCAGACGGGCGGCGCGTGGGCTGCAAGGGTCTGCGCGCAGGCAGCTTGCACGGGGCGGCGCGCCGCGGGGCGGGCAGGGGCGGCGCGCAGGTAGGCAGGGCGGACGGGCGTCGCGGCGGGCTGGGGCAGCCCGCTCTGGCGACGCGACGGGCACGGGCAGGGCCGACGGGCGACGCGACAGGCTGCAGGGGCGCGTGACGCGACGGGCTGCAGGGGCGTGCGACGGGACGGGCTGCAGGGGCGCACGGCGCGGCGGGCAGCAGGGGCGCGCGACGCGACGGGCAGCAGGGGCGCTTAGTAGGGGCGGGTGCAGGGCAGGGCCGCGGTGGGTGGTTAGGTCAGGGCCGCAACGGGGCGGCTGTAGGGCAGGGCCACAACGAGGTGGCGGCAGAGCAGGGCCGCGACGGGGCGGCAGCAGGGCAGGGCCGCGACGGGGCGGCGGTAGAGCAGGGCCGCGACGAGCGGCTAAGGGCAGGGCCGCGACGGGTGGCGGCAGGGCAGGGCCGCGACGGGCGGCGAGGTCAGGGCCGCGACGGGCAGCGAGGTTAGGGCCGTGACGGGCCGTTAGGGCAGGGCCGCGACGAGCCGAGAGGGCAGGGCCGCTACGGGCCGAGAGGGCAGGGCCACTACGGGCGGCAATAGGGCAGGGCGCGCGACGGCGCAGATGAGGCAGGCGCGAGGCGCGCTTCGGGCAGGGCAGGAAAAAACGATCGTGGTGGGCCCTTAAAAAAAACGTTCCCACTAGGGAACCTGCTCTGAAACCACGTGAAAGATAGAACGAGGAATAACTAGAAACAAGGCAGTATAAGGTTTGTATAGGCAAAACCTAACAATACTGTACCCCACAAGGAGTGCCCCACTACAGCCTACAACATGACACACCCGCACCGCAACATGGACATCATCACGTACGTGGCAGACGGCCGGCGTACTCACAAGGACAGGTGCGCGCAGCCTGCGACGCCCCTCCCTCCACCATCTTTGTGTCGGAGATGGATGGCGAGGTGGCTGGTGCTACTGCGAGGAGCTTGGAGTACACACAGAGGGGGCGGCAGATGTACCTGCTGTGCATTGAGGGCGGCCTAACAGTGACCTCCAAGGACAGTGGCATCAAGGAGATACTCACTTCCTGTGATGCCCTGCAGGTACTATGCCTTTCAGCACCTCCGTCATCCTTTTTGAACTCACTAGAATTGATCTCACAAATAATCGCCTATGGCCGTCTAGCAGGTTGCTGCGCCAACAAAAGGAGACATGTCTCTCGCGTTTCAGCCTGATGATGCTTCTGGAGCGCACATTTTGTTCCTGGAGATGGCCAGAACAGTTTGAGCTGATGTTTTTAAATCCATTCTGTATTTCTTTTTACAGCAATGAGTTGTCTTTCTACCAGTTCTTCACGGTGGCAAATGGCAGGGGGTTCACCCACACTCCGCCCACACAAACCAGCCAAAAAGCTTCCAGGAATGAAAGCACACAGTTGAACTCCCATCACTAGGCTTACCGTAGGAGTCAGAACAGGATGCTAGGGAGCATGTTGTGTTCCCTATCCATTTTCTGTGAACTTTCTGGTTGCTTAGGTTGGGCCTCATAACCTGGCTGGCTTACTTGGCTTATTACAATAACAGGACAGCTTCTTTAGTGTATCTTTGTGTGAAATTATGAGGGGCTCCTTCGTCGCATCATTTGACGCATCAGGTGTTGCTCACATCACATCCGAGCATCAGGTTGTGGCGACAAGGGACTACGGTAGCTTGTGTGACTACTCCTTACACAGAGCATGGCAGGGAATCAAATGATAGCAAGAAGGCCAGATTGCAAGAGGTCGGCATACATGAGCTGGTTCCAGGTGTCAGGCACGCCAGGCAGGCACCAGTGCACGCAGTCACGAATCATTCGGCCCCCTCGCCCCCGCGTTACAGCGCCATCGCCGTGCCCCACCACAGACCCATTCACCACCTCCCGTGGCAGCAGCTGCCTGTGGGGCAGCAGGGGTTTCTCTGACATGAACGGGTGAGGCAGAGGGGGGGTGTTGAGGAGCAGGGGGAAGGCGACGACGTGGGCGTCGGGGCGCATGAGGGAGAGGGGGAAGGCGTCCAGCAGGCGCAGCCACGGGATGCTGGGCTGCCCCCACGTGGACTCATGCACGGCCAAGGCAGAGGGTGGGGCGCCAGGCATAGTGGCAGCAAGGTCATCAGAGGCGGCAAGGTCATCAGAGGCGGCAGCTGTAGCGGCAGCAACAGCAGCGCTGGCAGTTGCTACAGCTTCCTCTGCAGCGGCATCACGGCAGTCGGCAGCATGTGCGCAGGCTGTAGCAGGTGAGAGGGGCTCCTGGAGGGAATGGGTCGCAGGGGAGGAGAGGGAGAGGAAGGAGGGAGAAGTAAACATGAGATGCTTGTGGGGTGATGGGGAGCAGCATGTGCAGCACAGCACTACCAGCTGCTACAGCAGCACACGCAAAAAGTGCACATCAACGTACCTTAAACAAGCTGCACACGCAAAAAGTGCACATCAACGTACCTTAAACAAGCTGCATTGGCATGCATTGCTCTCTGCACTCACCGCATGCATGTCACAGCGGCCACCGGATTGGAAGGTGCCGCCGGTGAAGTGGCTGGGCGAGGCGGAGCGCAGGAAGATGACGGGCGGAGCGGCACGGGCAGCGCGGACAGCGGCGAGCGCCAGCGAGCGCGTGACTGCCAGCAGTGCCTGCCTGCGCAGGCCAGCCATGAATGGCGTTGACTCCAATTGACTCTCAGACGGCATGAACGGGCGCGCGGTGGGGGAGGTCTGCACGGCCTGCTGGTTGGCTCTGAAACTGTGTGGAGGGGGGAGGTGGTTGGAGCGATAGCGAGACAAAAGGATAGAGGAGTGGGGATGAGGAGTGGGAATGTAGGGCGGGCGGAACGAGGGGTGTGTGATGATCAAAAGACAAACCGAGGCTGGCTGCCCTACTGCGTGCGTGCCTCGCCTCGTACGCACCTGCTGGCAGTCCAGTGGTTGGCAGTGCTGAGCACGACCACGTCCAGGCGCCACAGGTGCTGCAGCAGCCACTCGTCCGCCTCATACACCCGAACCACCCGCCGGTACTGCCTCCTCCTCCCCGCTCCCACTTGCCGCCGCCCCTGCCCGCCCTCCTCCCTCCCCTCCTCCACACTCTCCCCCTTACTCCCCCCTTCCTTCTTCTCATCCTCCCCCCCCTCCTCCTCCTCCTCTCCCTCTTCCTCCACGGGCACGGCAGCGGGCAGCATGTGCTCGTGGCACAGCAGGTTGGAGGTGCGCTGCAGCAGCGTGGTGTTGCTGCCAGGCAGCCACACAGCAGCGCCCCTGGCAGTGCCGCGCACAGGCGCGCCCCATGTGAGGTTGAAGCGCCACCCCACGTCCACCACCGCCACGCCCTGCCCGCCCGCGTTGACTGCGTTGAGCGGGCGGGTGTGGTTGGGGGGCAGCACTCGGGGGTGTGGGGCGAGCAGGCAGAGCAGCGAGAGGAACTGCTGGCGGCTGAGCGAGTCGCCCACCAGCGCCACCGTGTGGTGCTGCATCCTGCTCACGCATGGCGGGTGGAGAGGAGGGGAGGAAGAGGGGAAAGAGGGGAAAGAGAAGAGGAGCGGAGGAAGAGAGGAGGTGAGATGTTGCGTGGCGTGGCAAGTTAGAGAGTAAATGGCACCGCCAGTTGCCAGTGAAGGTTCTGTGCGTGGCATTGCAGCAGGGCGGGGATAGGGCAGAGGAGTTTAAAAATGAGGTGATGGCGCAGGGAGCGAGCAACGAGAGCCGAGGTGCCATGGCTTTGCCTGGCGCCTGGTGCGCTGCAGTGGGCGCCAGGTGGGGTGCGCGTGAGGGTTGTGGTGGGCAGCGTGAGGGTTGTGGTGGGCAGCGTGAGGGTTGTGGTGGGCAGCGTGCGTGCCTGAGGAGAAAGTCAGAGGCGTTGAAGGCAGGCACGTCGCACCCATGGGGCTGCCACCGATACTCCTCAAACGCAAAGTCCCGACTCATGCCCTCCCCCTCCCCCTCCCCGTCCCCATCCTGTCCCCCCTCCTCCTTGCCTTGATCTCCCCCCTTTCTGCTTCTTCGCTCGATCTGCTCTCCCTGCTGCGGCGTCCCTTCATTCGCCCCTGCATCACTCGTCTGCACCCAACCAACCCGCCAACCTCCCTCTGCTTCCTCCTGCCGCCCTTCCTCTTGTACCCGTCGCCTTTGCCGCATGTCGTCTTCAGATTCTGCATTTCCGCGTTGCTTCCCCCGGCGATCTCCCACCGGCCGTTGCATGTGCCGGCAGTTGAATTTCTCCCACAGGCACTGCGATATCCAGAAGCACTCCCCGCCGTGGTAATAACGAGAAATGGGTGTTCTCGCGTCCCTGACCCATCGACCCTGGTACAAGTGACAGTAAGGGGAAGATCCAGAGCGCTGGCTTGAATGAGTGTCACGAGGTGGGCTCCTCGATTCTCGCTGCTGTGATTCAGTTTCGGCTTCGAATGAAGATTCAAGCGATTTCAAAGGGGCATTTTCTTCTAGCGAGAGCTTTTCAGAGAGGGCAAGGGGGGAATCTCCCCCCGGAAAGTTCTCTCCGGCCAGAAGGTCGTTTCGGCTGCTGCTGTCGTCGGCGATCAGCCAATAGGACGCGAGAACGACCGCTACCAGCAGCAACAGAAACCCTCGATTGCCCAGGATATCTGTTCGCGAAGGCATTTCGCACAAGCGATGGTGAAACCCGCATAGGTTCTCGCGGAAGGGAGTCCTGGCGCTGGGCCAGCGGGCCTCGTAGTATTAGGGACGCGTCGTGTCGGACAGCGAAGCGAGAGCGAGTGGCAGCGAGCTTTGGGTCAAGTCATTGCAGAAGGCATGGTGCACGTGGAACGAGATGGCGATGCGCGCGAGCTAAGGTTCATAAGTGGGTATGTGGACGTATTACGGATTCCGACAACGTTGCACCCAGGTGGCTCTAAGCCATCCTCGCTATAGCATGATTGTTTCAAGCGTTGGCGGCTTTCATGAAAGAGCACAACCGGATTATGATTGCGATACTACCTGTGGGGAAAGTCGATCCATATTGGTCCATCAATTGAATACAAATAAATATTGTGAAAGCTTGCTTAGTCCATCTTGCAAAGGCAGCGTGCTTCATTCCAAGTGGGGTATTACAACGTTCTCGTACATCCATGATACACAATGGGGTGGGTGGTGGGAGAGTAAACTAGAAAATTGTAAATGAAGAACGTGGGTGGAGCTACTGAACTCACGTTCCTCTTTTGTAGGCAAAAGAGGGGTGAGTAGCGTCGAACTGCTACCTTTGCTTTGCTAGCCACGTCCTCGCTTTCACAATACGAACTTTTAAAAAGTGTTTCACTTTTAAAAAGTATAATGTCTGTGCGAAACCACTGTACCCATGTGCGTTCAAAAGGTACACCCCGTATGGTCAGCTGCATACACCAACATCTTTCGACAGCTGCTCTCCCCTCCTCTCTTTTCCCATCCACGCCCTCGCATCTCAGATGGCGTTCACACGAAGTTCCCCCAAAGCGAACCGCGCTCAACAATTGTGCACAGATATTTGTGAAGCACGTGTTTGAGGTTGCTTCACGAAAGTTTGTCATGAACGATCTTGAAGTCTACGGGGTTACATGCCCCTGATTGGGTTTGATGATTCGCTCAAACTCGTCCATGTGTGTATCCATATTCGCATGGCACGTGGAGTGGGTGTGGTCAGTTGCAAAACTGCCACGCTGGACCCACTTTTGGGCCTCTTGGGGCTACTTCGCTTGGGGGAACTTGATGTCAACGCCATCTCATCCCCCTCCGCACTCACCGTTTCCGCCAGCTGTGTTCCCTCGAACCTCCTCACTCTGCTTCCCCTCTGCTCCCTCCTACTATTCCTCCTGTTCCTCGGCACGCACCTGGTATCGCGGTGGCATTGGTAGACTACGAGCGCGTGGCGCGGGCCGTGAAGGAGTGGCCGAGTGGGTGCTGCGGAAGGCCAAGGTCGCGGCGCAGTACGGCTTCGTGCCGCTCGTTATCGCCGTCGGCATGCTCTACACCGAGCCGCAGCCGCACCTCCTGCAGCTCATCGGCCCTTAGACCGTCGTCTTATCGAATCAAGCCGTACATCATGCGGTAACTTGAGAATTTTTTCTCTACTTGGAATCCAGGCTCGGTATGCGAATTCAGTTGAAGCCGATATGCAGAGCCTTGTCGCACGGGATCAGAGACGTGACCTAGTTACTTTCGCTGATCCCGCAGCGGGCTGAGTGGAACCACAGGGCGTTCCAGTGGGGATCTCTGCGGTGCATCGGCGTGCTCTTCGGTATCCAGCTCCCCGCCGGATCTTGTCAGAATGTGATGTTTGTCTAGCCTGCAGTGGGGTACTCTGTAGCGAGTACAACCCAATTAGGGTTTCCTATATGTATCTCAACTGCTGCTAGTGAAAACCACTCTTTCCTGTTTCTGATTCTTGCCTAGTATTTCGACATATCTTTGGTTGTTCCTACATAGATTTTAGGTGCTTGCTTGCTTGTATGCACTGAATTATTGGACATAGTTGTTGCTCGTTGCATGTTTAGATGAGTTCTTCAATTTCCCCACCTTCGATGTCCTTGCGTGCTCTTATCCTAGTTACTACTCCTTGTGTACATTGTGCCTGTCATTGGCCGATGATGGTGAAAGGGCCATTGTGATCAAGTGATGGAAACATGTAATTCTCAGTTGCTCTTGTCGTACCTTCAATTCAATTGACTCTCAGATTACGCTTTTAACGTATAAACGGAATTGATTACTAAGGGGAATTTCTTTGGTAGTGTATCAAGATATACGCCAACTGCGATCTTCTTGACCCATGCGGCACTTTTCGATTTGCCATTGCGATTATATTTCGCTGTTGGCAGGAGGGTGTCTACCACTACCATTCACGCTCGCCACTCTCCGCTCCGCTCATCTTTACAATCTTGCCTGCTCTCGTCGCCACGAGCAGGGCCCAAAATTGGTTTTGGCCCACCCTGTCAAATCAGAGTTCCAGGGTGGGCCAACCCTGACTCCTAGGGTAAAAAATATCGTACCCTCATGGAAACAAGGCAAAAAAAAAAAGATAAGCAAATTAGTTTAAGAAATAATAACTGTGAGCAAACAAGTCTCGTAAGTTAAATTGTCTTAGCTGGTTAGAAGAGCTGGCGCGATTGAGAAGGTTACGTGTTCGATATTCATGTCGGGAATTTTGCGCTGTGCCATGCTCGCTGGAGCTATTTTGCGCACCGTATCCTCGCTACAAAAGACTCGGTATCAGTTTACCAGGGTCAAAACACTGATGGAAGTCAGGGGAAACAATCGCTAACTCGGATTTCATAAGGGTACAAAAAGTCAAACTCTTTATGAGTCAGGGTAAGAAATCCGGGAGGCTGACTGGGTCAGGGTGTCAAGATAGCAAGCAGGAATGGTTGCATTGAATGAAATGTGGGTATAAGTACAAACCCTAACTTCGAGTTGTACCCCATATGGGCTACCCCACTATAGCCTACACAGAACTAACACATATATAGTTTGACACACCCCATAGGCAAAGTGGGGGGAGAACAAGGGGTCACAAGACCAGTCAAGAAAAGCAAAGCAAAGCAAGCTCGGGGTGGATCACAACGTCACCACACACTCGAGCACAGGCAAAGGCCACAAGGCCAGTTCACATGCAGAGGTATATATGCAACAACAACAACCGTACAGTGATCACTACCTAGCAAGAGTAAACTTGCAGGTATACATATATAGATCGAAGTACAACCAGAGTCTACAGCAAGTGAGGAAACGTAGGCACCAGGCCTAGAGCAGTGCAGAAGCGCTGATGATCACCAGCCGGAAGGGCCTTGGTGAACACATCAGCAGTGTTGGTCCGGGTGGGCACGTGAGCGACACGAAGCTGACCACGCTGCTGCAACTCTCGAGCAAGGAAGTAACGCAGAGCGATGTGCTTCGTTCTGTGCTCAAGTCTGTGGTCCTGACACAAGGCAATGGCAGCCTTGTTGTCGACGTACAGAACTGGAGGAGAACGAGGCCTCTCTCCCAAGTCGGTCAGCAGGTAGGTAAGCCAGCGTAACTCCTGTGCAGCCATGGGTGTGGCGTAGATCTCAGCCTCACAACTAGAGCTGAGAACAGAAGACGAGCGTGTAGACCGCCAAGAAACAGAGCCAGAGCCAAGACTGAAGGTGTAACCCTGTGACGACCGCTGCGTAGCCAGGTCGTCAACCCAAGAAGCGTCCGAGTGCCCAATGAGGACAACGTCGCCCCGTCCTCCAAGCACGAGCCCCATGCCCGATGTACTGCACAAGTAGCGCAGTACCCTCTTAGCAACATCCATGTGCACCTTTCGGTGCCTACCAGGAGCCACGTAGCGAGCCAGAAGGCCAAGAGGGTACACAAGGTCAGGACGAGTGCAGGTCATCAGGTACATGAGGCAGCCCACTAGCTCTGGGTAAGGACCACTCGGCTCTACGGACTCGTCCGAAGGTGGAGCTGAGAGCGAGTGACCTGTAGCCAGAGGAGTGGCCTGTGCCGAGGACCAGGTGAAGCCGAAGCGCTGAAGGACCTGCTGCACCATGTGTGACTGAGTCAGTGTGATGGTGCGGTGTGCTCTGTCCCGGGTGATCTGCAAGCCAAGCTAACTGCGCAGCTCACCCAGGTCTGTGCACGTGTGTCTCTTCTGCAGCTCCGACTTCACCAAGGCGAGAGCCTCAGTGTTAGTAGTGGCAAAGACCAAGTCGTTGACGTACACGAGGATGTAGAACGGCGGCAGTGAAGTGTCGGTGCGCAGAAACAGCGACGGGTCAGCAGTCGACGGAGCAAACCCAAGAGCCGCAAGTGTCATCCTCAGTGTGTCGTGCCACTCACGTGGCGCCTGGCAGAGACCGTAGACCGGCCGCCGGAGGCTCCACTGGGTACCAGAAGGGAACGACCCAGTGAAGCCAGGCGGGCGGCGCAGCCAGATCTCCTCGTGCAGGCTGCCCTGTAGGAAAGCAGTGCTGAAGTCAAGAGAGTGAAGCTCGTAGTCACGCTGAGTGGCAACGTGCAGCAGCACCCGAAGAGTGGTCATCTTCGGGGTGGGGGGGAAGGTCTGGAAGAAGTCAACTCCCTCTCGCTGACTGAAACCTCAAGCAACGTAACGAGCCTTAAAGTCAGGCGGAGAGCCTGGCGGCCGCTTCACCCTGAAAATCCACATGCCATCGACG